CATGTTCATTAGACAAACTAGATCCAAAGCTTTAGGGTTTGCATGTACATCATAGGAATGTTGTAGTGCTCAAAATCCATTAGGTACGCCCTGCGTAGACTAAGGACCGACCCTATAAATACATGCGAGGATTGCCATTTCTTTTCACACATTTCTCACATTTCCCTTTCTCATACTCCCAAACCTTCAAGGTTTTTCCCTAGCACTTCCCTGGTGTTAGAGGCGAGTCCCGGAGCACCAGAAGGCTCTGAGAAAAAGAGCTTTTCGGCTCGGAAAGTTCTGCCCTCGCTGAGCCCGGTTTCTAGAAAACCTCCCGGTAAGTGAGTTATGCTTACCCTATTTTAAATATAGCTTAGGTTTAAATTTATTATCGTTATTTTGAACTTATAAATAATATATACTATAAAATATAATATATAAAGTGTTATTATAATATCTTTTAACTACTCGCGGTACGGAGAATCTGGTTTGAAGAGCCGCATAGGGTTGTTGGATTTCAGAAGTGTTATAATGCCAAAATGGTAATGCCTCCGGTGTTAAAGTGTTATTATAATATCTTTTAACTACTCACGGTACGGAGAATCTGGTTTGAAGAGCCGCATAGGGTTGTTGGATTTCAGAAGTGTTATAATGCCAAAATGGTAATGCCTCCGGTGTTTCATGTAAAATAATTTTGTTTTTTTGTGCATATAAATATGTTTTTACAAAAGAAATGTACATGTTTACTATGAAATAGGTGTTTGCATATATATTTTTTTATAAATATATGTTTGCATACAAAATGTATTTGTCATAAAATAGGTGTTGTATACATTTTTTTTATAAAAACGGATTTGTATGTATTTTTGTACTTAATAAATACATATTCTTATAAATAGGTATTTCGTATACAAAAAAGTTTTTTACAAAAAAAGTTTTTATATAGAAAATATAAGATTTTTTATATGAAAATATGTTTTTTCTTTATAAATAAAAAACATATTAGAAACAAAATTTTGAGAAAAAAAGTTGTAAAAACAACTAAATTTAGGATGAATTCATAACAATATTCTAAAATTTGGGCCAAAAAGGTAAATTTTGGAACAAATTTTTAATAAAATTTAAAATCTGGGCCAAAAGTGTAAATTTTGGACCAAATTTGTAATAAATTTTGAAAACTGGGCTAAAAATGTAATTTTGGAAAGTTGGACTGTCACACTCTAAATTTTCAAATAAAATTTTCATTTTTAAATCCACACAAAACACAGTTTAACATTTCTCAAACCCAATTTAAAATTTGTTTCAAACACAAGTCATAAAAATTGTTTGTCAAATATCCCAGAATCCTCAAAACATAATCAACTAGCTGGTGTCTACAATCATGCCGACACCTTCCCGCAATCCTGAGATGTACCTGAAACACATTTCACACAACACTGTAAGCACAAAGCTTAGCGAGTTCCCCAAAATACCACACACAAATAATTAGCCTCTCATGGCTATATCTCGATAAGGACCCTCCGGTCATGTGTCTCAATGAAGACCCTCCGGTCTCACGACACAATTTGCACCCTCTGGTACTATCTCAATAAATGCACATAATAATATACAACATAAATCACAAAGACAGAAAACATAATATCACATGTCTTAATATAAGCACATAAGACCCTTCGGTCGATAACATAAATACGACCCTCTGGTCACACAATGATTACCACTCAGGTAAGTATGGTGAGAAGACTCGCCTCGTAAGTGAAGTAAGTATATCTCGTACTCAACGGTCGATCTAGACTCCGCTTACATATATCATAATCATCTTTAATTAACAATTTATAATAATAACTCCAAAGATGTTAAGCTAACTCCTTTACTAACTCTCGGAAAGGGTGAAAGACCATTTTACCCCTCCATGGTCTCCAAAGTCTACAACTTGACCAAACCTAAAAGTCAACGCTCAAATCAACACTCCCTGTTGACCCAACTCGTCGAGTACATCCATGCGACTCGTCGAGTTCCTTCCGTTCTCCAAAAAATCGGGAAAATTCAACTCAACTCGTCGAGTTGTCTCACCAACTCGCCGAGTTTGTACAACGTCCAGGATAACGGGGAAAACCCTAACCAACTCGTCAAGTTCCTTCAACCCAATCACTCATTCAGATGCTTTTAAGCGAGACTAAGGCCCCAAACTCTAGAACTAGCCTTCTAAGGCTGAAATACCACGTAAAGCTGCAAACTTTACGTCCATGCATGACATTTAGGGTTAAGTTTGCCAAAACAAAGCTCAACAAAAGGGTTTAAGGCATGGAAGTTGGCCAAAGTTTGATAAAACTTGAGTCTTTAGGCCTAAAGGGCCTAATAACGTCCAGATCTGAAGTCTTAGCTTCAAGGTAAGCTCAAAACCAACAATGGCTCACGAAAATGCTAACAATGGCCATAAACTCTCTAATGGAGAGATCTAACAAACAAGTGATCAAGATAATGGCTTTTTACCTCAAAATGGCCGTCAACACTGAATGGATGCCGGATCCAAAGACTCCTTCTTGTTCCAAGCCTTTTACTCCTCAAGTTCCTTCAAGAAATGCACCAAAACACACACTCTTAGTCTCACTCTCTCTCTCACAGTGGAAGATACCTTGATTAGGGGTTGTCTCAAGGTGATAAGGTGATGAGGGAAACGAGATAGAGGGCTTAAGGTCCTTTAAATAGGGTGCAAACCCTGAAAATTAGGGTTTTCACGCTCAGCTCCAACTCGTCGAGTTGGGTCCTCCAACTCATCGAGTTGATTCTAAGATCCACGCGACTATCTAAATCTCTACTCGACGAGTTGGGGCCTCTAACTCGTCGAGTTGCCCTGTCAATATGAATATAAACAATTTAAATTTATACCTGAGAGTCGGGATGTTACATGGACGACCCGTTGACCGGGTAAAATGGTTAAATTGAATACGATTATCGGTTTTTGAGACTTAATTGAATAAAAAAAAGATATAAGGACTAAATCGATTATGAGACCAATATGTAAAGACTTTATTGCAGTTTTTTTTAGCATTAGAGGATAATAGGTTGGGTTTTTCTGATTTCACAAATTTTAGGTAACCGGCTATTAAGGGTTTTCCGGTTACAAGACATTATTTTAAACATAATCAACAAATAAAATGGTTTTACCGTACAAAAAAAATAACATAATGATTTTTTGAGCACTGAAGGATAATAAGTTGAGTTTTTCTAGAATTTTTCGAGCAGTGGAGGATAATAGGTTGACTCCAATTACTTTACATATTAATAATAACAAATCAATATAAATAAATCAAAAAATCAATATAAATAAATCAAAAAATCAATTAGAAAGAGTAATCTATCGATTTCATATGTAAAAAAATTAGCTAGGACCAAACACAAATTACCCACACCCACGTTTGGACCAATTGTGTAATTTACTCTATGAAATGAAGTCATAGTTTGATTTGTGAATACATGTGTTGGCCAACCCATTGAAAAACAAGGATTTGGTAAGATCTACTACTAATTAGACACCAACATACACAAACCAGTTTTAGTAGAACTGATAGGTATATGTATCCATCCATATATACCCCCTGTTCAAGACAATAGACATCTCCTTCAAATCGATCCAACATCACCATCTCCACAAAATCTCTTCCCTTTCTCCACAACCATGCAAGCTCAAGCTCTTCTGCAATCAACCCCACTTCGGGTCTCCCCACTTGACCCGCTTCAGAAACACTCTTTACTCACCAATGTCAAATCGCCTTCCTTCACCACACGCCGCCGCGCAGTAATTTCAGCTGTCGCCGCCGCCCCTAAACGTGAGAAGGATCCCAAGAAACGGGTTGTCATTACGGGTATGGGTTTGGTATCGGTCTTCGGGAACGATGTCGATACTTACTATGAAAAGTTGTTGGCGGGGGAGAGCGGAATCGGGTTGATAGACCGGTTCGATGCGTCCAAGTTTCCGACACGATTTGGTGGTCAGATTCGTGGGTTTAAGGCGGATGGGTATATCGATGGGAAGAATGACCGGAGGCTTGATGATTGTCTTCGCTATTGCATTGTTGCTGGTAAAAAGGCTCTTGAAGATGCTGATCTTGGTGGTGATAAACGCTCTAAGGTTTGTAGTTCTATTGAATTTCATTCGTTTTTCATGTTTGGATCTGGTTGCTATTTGGGTAATTTGAAGTTTTGAACTGCATGAGTGGAGTTTAGCGGATGTGTGCTGGATTTGGGCAATAGTAAGCTTGAAATTAGAAATGTGTGATGAATTAAAGTCACAACAATTGAATGGATGCCACATTTGCGTGATGCCTATAAATCGAAAATGTGATAGATTTCATCATTTTGAAACCTTTTCTAATCGTTATTTATCTTCATATGCATATAACTCTGTACATTTTCTGATTAAAATCCATTCAGGATCTGCTATTTAGATGTGACTTCAAACTGGTTGTTGTGATTTAAAGTTGCAATAATTAAATTTGAGTGTTTTGGTAAACAGTGTATAATTTTCTGATCATTTAGTGTAAAAAAAAATCTGATTTTGTGTGCTTTTGAGGGCTTACTGCAAATTTTACAATGTCCATAAACCTTTTTACTTTTTTACAATTCAATGTATCGATTACAGTAAAACCAAGAGGCTTACATGTGCAATAAAATGGGAAAATAAATAGTGTTCAAATCAAACTTAAATGCAAGAAATGATAAAGTACTTTCATTGATTTGTTTATTATAGAGTCCTACTTTCATTTCTTCCTATTACAACATTGTACTTTGAAAAATCTACCAAATCATAGAAATGTTATCCAAAAAATGATAAGTAGGATGCTATAATATACAAATAAATGAGAGCACCTTGTTATATAAATAATAAATTTGAAGCATACTTGATACATGTGCCTTGGGTAAAAGAGTTTGTGATGCGTGTACTAAGGAGATCATGTGTAAAGTGCACTGAATCTCTTACTTTGTTGGAAAACAATGTTGAGTGCATGATGTTCATATGACCTTCAGTAGTTCTATTTATTTGTGTAAAAAATGCATGAGACATACGTAAAGGGAAAAAACAAGTATAAAGTTTACTTTACATCCCCAAAATTATTTTCATTCTAAGATGTACGGAATAAATTCCAACCTTTCCTTTTTCCAACACGTTTAGTAAATTCTCCTATTGTCAATTTGTCATTATCAAAAAGCACTCGAGACACTTTGAGATTAATTGTACACTTTTAGACTGCATAACATTGTACCGTGTTTGTCATGCATTGGACTGAGACTGAAACCGATGTCAATAGAACAAAAATTTTAATTTTTTGTCACATCCAAAAAGGTGGAACAGGGACTCGCTCTCAATCTCTTGTTTGTGAAAAAGACAAAAACGCCCTCCGTATCCTCATCATTATAAAAAGCCCTGGAAAGCTTGTCATGTCCCGTCCAGTCTGCATAACAATTGCAGCCTAGGCTCCATTTATTACATGGCACTTGACTGGATGGGACATGACAAGCTTTCCAGGGCTTTTTATAATGATGAGGATACGGAGGGCGTTTTTGTCTTTTGCACAAACAAGAGATTGAGAGCGTGTCCTTGTCCCACCTTTTTGGATGTGACAAAAAATTACAATTTTTGCTCCATTGACATCGGTTTCAGTCCTAGTCCTAGTCCAATGCATGCCAAACACAGTACAATTAGTCATGTCATATGTAACAATACAGTCAGTATTTCTTGTCGATATATATATTTTTTTGCAGATCGATAAAGAACGTGCCGGTGTGCTTGTGGGAACAGGAATGGGAGGTCTCACAGTGTTTTCCGATGGGGTGAAGTCTCTGATAGAGAAAGGTCATAGAAAAATCACGCCTTTTTTCATTCCATATGCAATAACAAACATGGGGTCCGCATTGTTAGCTATTGATTTGGGGTTTATGGGGCCCAACTATTCAATTTCAACCGCTTGTGCTACCTCCAATTACTGCTTCCACGCTGCGGCAAATCACATCCGGCGAGGGGAGGCGGACATGATGATTGCTGGCGGCACCGAGGCGGCAATTATTCCGATTGGATTAGGAGGTTTTGTGGCGTGTAGGGCTTTGTCTCAGAGAAATGATGATCCTCAAACTGCTTCAAGGCCATGGGATCAAGATAGAGATGGGTTTGTGATGGGAGAAGGTGCTGGTGTTTTGGTAAGTTTGGTACCCGTTTTTATAATACGGGTCGGGTCGGGTCAGTTTGGGTTGACTTGTCATTGTTTTCTTTTGTCTCCGATTTTACGAGTGGGTCTGTCAGTGTCAGATTCAGACTGTTTGATACCACACTTAGAAGACTGTGTTACTCAAACAGGCCTTGACTCAATCAGATCTGACTCGATCAATCAAACAACAGTTAATAAGCATAATTTTTTTTTGAAGGTGATGGAGAGTTTGGAACATGCAATGAAAAGAGATGCACCAATACTTGCAGAATATTTGGGAGGAGCAATTAATTGTGATGCTTATCATATGACTGATCCACGTTCAGATGGACTTGGTGTTTCTTCTTGTATTCAAAGTAGTTTGATGGATGCTGGTGTGTCTGCAGAAGAGGTACTTTAAATATTTTTTATTTTTTAATGTGATTGTTTTTATAGATTATATATTCGTATTTATGCAACAACTTTCCATTTTTTTTTCCACGAAAATGGTTTTTTTTATATCGTTTTAGGGTCAAAAGATTGTTGCATAATTATATATATTTTTATATACTTGTTTGTAATTACAGGTAAACTACATCAATGCACATGCAACATCAACATTAGTTGGTGATCTTGCTGAGGTAAATGCTGTAAAAAAGGTATTCAAGAAAACTGAAGGCATCAAAATGAATGCAACCAAGGTAAACCCCAAATCCCAAATCTTTTTCCATTAATTGTTGTCTTAATAAATAAATGTTGCTTATAATTATTCGAAAAAAATAACAAAACCATTTTGAGAAATAAAAGCAAAAAAATAAAAAATAAAAATATCTTAATTGGTTTATGTTTCAGTCTATGATAGGACACTGCTTAGGTGCAGCTGGTGGTCTTGAAGCCATTGCTACAGTCAAAGCCATTCAGACAGGCTGGCTCCATCCTTCCATAAACCAATTTGTATGTTCTTCATTTTTTTTATAACTTTTTTTAAAAATAATTTTACAATTATTTTTTAATTTTTTAATCTTGTGTTTTTGTAACGTAGAACCCGGAGCCTGCAGTCGAATTTGATACCGTTGCAAATATAAAACAGCAACACGAAATCAACGTTGGTGAGTTTGAATTTTTTTCATTTTGGAATCCTGTGGGCCCCATTTGTCAGACTGAGACTGATGTCAATGAGACAAGAATTGCAATTTTTTTTGTCCGTACCCAAAAAGGTGCAAAAGACTGTGTAGTATTGTTGTATTTGGTTGACTGATTGATTAAAATGTTTTTGTAAATGTGCAGCGATTTCGAATTCGTTTGGTTTTGGTGGACACAATTCTGTTGTAGCATTCTCTGCTTTCAAGCCTTGATAATTGATTGGTGGAAAAAGTTAGGGTTTATAAAGAGAGACTTGTTGTTTAATGTTTGTTTGGCGATTTTAGTCATGTTACTTAGAGGTGAGTGGTGATTGAGTAAGTACATTTTGAAATTTAGAGGCACTAGCATTGCATTGCGTTCATGAACATGTATCTTCTGTATTATTTGGTAAATTACATCTCTCTCTCTCTCTCTCTCTCTCTCTCTCACACACACACACACACACACACACACACTTGTTTTTGTCGATTTTTGATTTAAGACAAAATTCATATTTAAAAGTTTTATATTGTAAATTTACAGTTTTCTGTACTTTACTAGTAATTCAAGTATTGGATGCGATTAAAAAATATTATATATTTTCATAATAATAATATCATCTTAAAAGAAACAATTGGGTTGATATATGTTTGAATATGTTTTGTACGACTTTTGATCACTGTAATCTACTTAAGATGAATTTAATCCTAATCGACATGTCAAATATATTTCTATTCTGCTGGTATTATATTTATAAAGTTCTTTCTCCTCAAACAATCAAATAATATTTTTCATAAGAGAAATGATCATACGACCTTCATGATTAACGAGAGTCAAGAATTTTTAGATACAAATCAAACTAAATATCTTTTTGGGAAATTTATTATATGGTTACTTTCAACAATTATTTTTTCTATTAAGATTTGATCATATTTAGTTTTATACATAATGTAACCAGTTTAATATGCATAATTTTGCAAGGGTGGCAAAATGAGTGACTTGACTAAAACATCAAACAAGGTTGCGTTAAGATTTAATATGGATCAAAGTGGCTTCATTGACCCACAAAACGTTTGTTCTTTCATTTTTTGGATTTTCATAATAGTAAATCTAATTTCTTTTATAAAACAATTCTGGTTGTAGTAAAAAGTAAAAAAAAATTTGTTAGATATATTATTATGCATACAATTTTTTAACGAGAGTTTATGACTTAGGGTATCATTTGGTATGCACTAATCGAAGAGATAATGAAATGAAACATCATATGAATGAAAAAATATGGTCTGGTTATCACAAAGGAATGAAATGGAGCATTGCATACAAATGCGATTCTTTCCGTTGAGCCGATTTTCATCATGTGAGAGATTAGTGTTTTGATTTTTCATTGCTTCTAGAAATAGAATGATATTTACCATAACTGTACATTATTATTTTTTCATAATTTTTTTTAGCAAATACCATTTTTTTAAAAATTTTCTTAAAATTTTCAAAACTTCATTTTTTAAATAAAAATATGTTTTTTAGTATAGTTATACTTTAAGATTTTACGTTATCTATTTCTTTTTATCCTGCAACCTTTTTAGATCATAGATAATTACTGAAGTTTGAACGGCATAAATATGTTTATATGTAGTTTATTTAATGATTTATTTTTATTTATTTATATAAAATACTGTAATACTCTTTTTATTTATTTATCAATTTTAGTTAATTAGTTTTCTATTTATTAATAACAAATAATATGTTTGAATAACTCACTTCGTTTATTCAAACCCACCAAACATGACAATGAAATATAACGATTCATTCTATTAATCGTTCATTCCATTTATTTTCTTCATAATTTCATTCTATCGTATCAAACAAAACGTGATACAAGTAAAAATGAAAATGCGAAACATGACCAAAACTGAAATTGAGAAAAATTAAAATGCAAAACATGAACCAAATTGAAGTAGAAATGGGATTAAGACTTGAGAGCACGTAAGATAAGAGGGACTAAATCTTAAGTATGACCAAAGTATAGGGACCAATTGGACCATTAGTGTGACTTAATTTGGGCTTTGGCCTGGGCTTTTATCTAGTTTACATTACAAATCTTTATTGGGCCGGGCGTCTATTACATTTACGCGGGACTATCATTATTTTCCCGCCAGAATACTTTACCAACACCTCTGCTCTTCCCGCCTAAACAACGCAGCACATTTAGGGCAAAGTTTCACCTCTCTTCTTCTCTGCATCTCTTCGTGGTTTTCCTATAATCCTTTCTCTCTAAGCGAGCAAGCGAAATGGACATCAGCGAAGAACAAAGGGCTTCCAACAAAAAAGCTTTCAGCGAATTGTTCGACACAAACGTAATATTCTTTCTCTTGTTTTTGTCGATGTATGTGTTGCGAGTGTTTATTTACACTTGGGCTGTTGTTAACAGGATAGTTTAGATGAAGATATCAGAAATATGATCCAGAACAAGCGCCATCGTTTGATTTTTCAGCTTTCTCACCTCTTTCAACGTGGAGCCGAGGATTTGGCTCGAAGGTATAAATCATTACATGAATATACATATTGAATTGAAATGATAGTACATCGTATACAGATTCACTCTTTTATGAATATGAATGTGATCTATGGATTTGTGTTATAAATTAGGCTGCTTCAGACCCCTAACGAATACATCCAGTCGTTGTCGGATTTCATAACTGAACGAACACGGAGCATTGATCCGAAGTTTCTGAAGGAAGGGGAGCAAGTATTGATTGGGTTTGATGGACCATTTGTTTCGAGGAAGGTTACGCCCAGAGATTTGCTTTCTGAGTTTATTGGTTCAATGGTTAAAGTCGAGGGGATTATTACCAAATGTAAGTTTTCAATGATCTGCTTTTCATGATTTCATGCTTCTATTGGGATGATTCGATATTCATAATGAGCTCCATAGCATATTAGTTGGTATCAAATCATTACCATCTATCCCCCAAAATTCTACATTTTAGGCCAGTTAGGTTAACCTAAAGCTTTCATACCATATTATTGACTATCAACGCACATCTGATTTACCATTTTCTTTTTCTAGGTTCTCTTGTAAGGCCAAAAGTTGTTAAAAGTGTTCATTATTGCCCTTCAACTACTCAGTTCACATCCCGTGAGTATCGAGACATCACTTCCACCATGGGTTTGCCAACAGGCTCTGTATATCCAACCAGGGTAAATCCAAATCCTCTGTAATATCTCACATTTCACAAATATAACAGAAACCAAATATCTAATTTATATAATATTTTTTGCAGGATGATAATGGCAATTTGTTAGTAACTGAATATGGGCTATGCAGTTACAAAGATCATCAAACATTATCTATGCAAGAGGTGCCTGAAAATTCTGCCCCTGGTCAACTACCAAGAACAGTTGATGTCATTGCAGAAGATGACCTTGTGGATTCATGCAAACCTGGAGATCGTGTGGCAATTGTTGGAATATACAAAGCTATTCCAGGAAAAAGCCAGGGTAGTGTCAATGGAGTTTTCAGGTTAAATTACTAAAAGGCCCTTCACAATGTTAATCTTTATGTTATTTATAAACTAATTGAACATATTTGGTACCATTTTTCTATGTTTTTATACTTTCTTTGGCGGCAAATTACAAAAATACCCTTAAAAGGTATTGTTTTTTGGAGGGCTAACTGGGAATCTTGATTTGATATGTAGGACTGTGCTTATAGCAAACAATGTTTCTCTGCTGAACAAAGAGGCAAATGCTCCAGTGTATAGCTCTGATGACATAAAAAAAATTAAGCAGATAGCTGAGAGGGATGACACATTTGAACTGCTTTCAAGATCACTTGCACCTTCGATTTATGGGCATGCATGGATAAAGAAAGCAGTTATTTTACTGATGCTTAGTGGAACAGAAAAGAATCTCAAGAATGGGACTCATTTAAGAGGGTGAGTTGTCAATTACCTTTTGTGGTCTTTATACTCCATTTTCTTTAACTAAGAAATGGAATCATTCATTTCATTCCCTTCTTTCTGATGGAATGGAATGGACTGTTCTTGAAAGAATGTGATTGCATCCATTATGTCAACTTTGGAATGGAAAGAAAAGATTATAAAATAATCAAATTTACTTAAACCTGTTTTATGTGATTTGCAGTGACATTAACATGATGATGGTTGGTGATCCTTCTGTTGCCAAGTCACAGCTTCTGAGAGCTATTATGAACATTGCTCCTCTAGCAATATCAACCACAGGTCGTGGTTCTTCTGGGGTTGGATTGACTGCAGCAGTTACTTCTGATCAAGAAACTGGTAGCATATTCTTGATAAATCAAAAAACACAAAAAAAAAATCAGCTTTTTTAATTTTTTTTTACTAAATCGTTATGTTGTTTTGAATTTTATAGGAGAAAGAAGGCTGGAAGCTGGTGCAATGGTTCTTGCAGACAGAGGTGTGATCTGTATTGATGAGTTTGACAAAATGAACGATCAAGATCGTGTAGCAATACATGAAGTTATGGAACAACAAACTGTAACAATAGCAAAAGCTGGAATTCATGCATCTTTGAATGCTCGATGCAGTGTGGTAGCAGCTGCCAATCCCATCTATGGAACAGTAAGTACTAAGTACACTTCTTGATGAGGGCATTTTCGTCTTTTTTACAAATACCTTTTTGGGTGAGAGTGACAAAAAAAATCTGAATTTTGTTCCATTGACAGTTAGGGTCTCAATTAAGTACACATTATGACAATGGCATTTTTTTTTGCAAGTACCTTTATTGGTGGGACAAAAAATCCAATTTTTAGACCATTGACAAGGGCACTTTTGTCTTTCTCACAAATACCTTTCTGGGTCGGATGGAAAATCCAAATTTTGTTTCGTTGATTGTTAGGGTCTCAATTAAGTACACATTACGACAAGGGTATTTTTGTCTTTTTTGCAAATACCTTTATGGGTGGGACGAAAAATTCAGTTTTTAGACCATTGACAAATGGGGTCTCAGTAAAGGGCAGTTTTGTCTTTCTCACAAATACCTTTCTCGTTCGGATTAAAAAATCCAAAATTTGTTATGTTGATAGTTAGGGTCTCAATTAAGTACACATTATGACAAGAGTATTTTTGTCTTTTTTGCAAATACCTTTATGAGTGGGACGAAAAATCCAGTTTTTAGATCATTGACAAATGGGGTCTCTGTAAAGGGCAGTTTTGTCTTTTTCACAAATACCTTTCTGGGTCTGATAAAAAATCAAGTTTTTGTTTCATTGACGGTTAGGGTTTCAATTAAGTATATGACAAGGGCATTTTTGTCTTTTTCACAAATGCTGGGGAAAAAAATCCAATTTTTATACGGTTAACAAATGGGGTCTCAGTAAAGTACACATCACAACAAGGGCATTTTCGTCTTTTTCAGAAATACCTTACTGTGTTAATTAATTGATTGCAGTATGACCGGTCAATTACTCCAACAAAGAATATCGGACTTCCTGATTCCTTGTTGTCACGTTTTGATTTGCTGTTTATTGTGTTGGATCAAATGGACCCTATTATTGATAGACGCATTTCTGATCATGTCTTGCGTATGCATCGTTTTCGATCTGCCACTGATGGAGGTAAGAATAAAAACATAAGATAGTGCGTTTGTTATAAAATTAAAATATTTTGTTAAAAATTGATCAAAATTGAAACATGGTTGTTTAGGTGATGATGTGGCGTCAATGTATGGAAGAGAGGATGAAGTTGAGGTGGATGGTTCTATCTTTGTGGAGTACAACAGAATGCTACATGGGAAAACAAAAGGAAAGAAACTTAAAGATGAAGCTTTGAAGATCAAATTTCTCAAGAAGTACATTCATTATGCAAAACACAGGATTCAGCCAGATCTTACTGATGAAGTATTTCTTTTTTCTTCTTTTAAAAATTGTTCTCCATATATGCTTATACTTATGCTTGTGTTAATGATGAGATATTTTCTTGTTTAGGCATCTGAGCAAATTGCAACTGCATATGCTGAACTCAGAAACAGCCATGGCAATAGCAGGGTTAGTATTAGCTATTAACACTCATCTACCTAATGTTTAATTATCCATATTGATTTTTGATTTTTATTTTTTATAGACTGGAGGAACCCTTCCGATAACTGCCAGAACCCTAGAGACAATAATTCGTCTCTCTACAGCACATGCCAAACTTAAATTAAGCAAACAGGTATGTGTATTGAACACTCTAAACCCTAAACCCTAAATCTCAAATGGATTTAGGGTTTAGGTTCTTATACCAGTCGTGTGCTCTAGATTAGGGTTTACCTTTTGTTTTATGGTTTAGATTCTGAAATCCGACGTGGATGCTGCATTGAAAGTTCTCAACTTTGCTATTTATCATCAAGAGTTGACTGACATGGAAGAGCGTAGGCAAAATGAAGAAAATCAAAAAGCTGACAATGATGGAGATAATAATAATAACAATGGAAGTGTCAGAAGAAAAAGAAAGCCAGATGCTACTACTCAAACAGGGTAAGTGGATAATCTTATAATTTTATAAAACCTTTTTTTTTTCTTATCTGATAAATATTATAGAAAGTAAAAATCCGTTTTTTTTTTCAGGACTGAAACTGAACCAATGGATGTCGATGAACCTCCAGTGGGACAAGGACAAACTACCTCAGCTGAGAGGTGTGTAGTTTTATTTTTTCTTTTTTTGGAAATTAAAACTTATTTTTTTACCAAAAGGTCAAAACTGTAATTTCCTTAACATTGAGTACTTCTTTTGTGACTGTAGGATTGCTGCATTTAGATCTGCATTTGAGCAGCATCGACATGAAAAGCGGTTTGAGCAAATAACAATAACAGAAATTGAGCAGGTGGTTAACATTCGGGCAGCTGTACCTTACTCAAGGGCAGAGATAATCTCCCTTTTAGAGGTATAGTTTTTAATTTATTAATTTATTTATTATTATTATTGGTTTTTGTAAAATGTCAAAAATCTAAAAATGGGAGTTACTTTGATGCAGAGTTGGCGGGATGAAGGGAGTGTAATGATAGTTGATGATGTTGTTTATCCAACATATTGAAGTGAGAGAATTATGTTTGTTTTTGTTATGGTATTTACTATTTAATTACTGAGTGTTTTATTATCAACACAAGTGTTGTGTAACTTTAAGACACCTCATGTGAAGTTAACATCTAGTTTAAGTTACTTTTCAGATAACTAATATGCATCATTTTCTCCTTTAAAATTGGTTATGGTATTCTCTTTTGGCAACAAATGAATCACATATATATTTGTATATAATAACATAATACTATGTCGGTTAAAAATCAAGTATGTTATAGATGAAAAATATAAGTATGTTGCTCATATGGTATAAAAAGAAAGTAAAGGGTAAAGTACATTGTTGATATTGGTGATGAGAGTAGATTGCGTTGCTATTATAGTAAAAGGTAAGGTACATTGCTTTTTATTGGTAAGTGAAAGTAAAGTATATTGTTATTCTCGGTAAACAATAGGATATATGGGTATTTTACTTAAATTGACAAGGAGACTAGAGTATGCTTCTTGATATTGTATTTAAACAATTTGTGCTTGATTTGCATACCAGTGCTTCCAAAAAAAATCCTTGTATAAGGAAGTTTTACACGAAGTCACTACTTGAAGACTAAAAAAAGAGTAGAAGAAAATTAGTATCACACTAATGATTTGGTATTTAACAAGACAAATGCAAACTATTTGGTATTATGACGGGTGGGAGCGGGCAACGGCGAGCAACATTATTCTGACGTGGCATCCGAATAATGTCGGTATAACGGGCCACCGCCCCCGGTCCCCGTTATTAGGCGTTACGTTATTTGGTGTTTGGGTGGTAATGGGACGAAATGCATGTGAACGGTCTATTTTTCGACCGTTGTGGAATGGTCACGAATTAAAAAAAAATTCATTTTAATTCCAATAAATATATATATATATATATATATATATATATATATATATATATATATACACACACACACATACATTTTAACTTCAAATTTTTACATACAAAATTCATCAAATACATATTTCTATCAAGTTTATTATATTTTATATATTTTTATTTACAAAAAATGGATCATTTTGATCCGTTCAATCCATACAATCATGATATCGGCAGGGATGATATGTTCATGGGTATGATGTACAGATATACTACGGACATGTTACCGCCAGAGCCAGCTCCACTACTGACCAGACGTGCGGCGTTGAACAGAGATTGTGAAGAAGGGAATAGACGTCTAGCACACGATTATTTTGCGAATAATTATGTCTACCAACCTAGCGATTTTAAAAGAAAGTTTCGTTTGCGGAAAAATGTGTTTCAACGGATAGCCAGTGCAATGGAAAACAGGTACCGTAATTATATTTTTTCTAAAAATTAAATATATGTTCTTTAGATTATTAAATAATTGTTTTAAAAATTAAATATATGTTCTTTAGATTATTAAATAATTGTTTTAAAAATTAAATATATGTTTAGGTATGAATATTTCCAAATGAGGTATCATGCGAGAGGCAAATGAGGTTTTACAGGGTTGCAAAAATGTGCTGCTGCAATCAAACTTATGGTTTTGGGGGAGTCGCTCGATTCTATTGATGACTATATGAGAATGTCAGAGCGAACTGCACGAGAAAGTTTGTATATATTGACGAGAAGTGTTATCAAAACCTTCGGTGAAAAATACTTGCACAAACCTTCATTGAATGACATGCAACAACTATATGTAGCACATGAAGAACGACATGGTTTTCCGGGTATGCTTGGAAGCATTGATTGTACAAAGTGGATATGGAGAAATTGTCCTGTGGCGTGGAAAGGTCAATACACAAATGTTCATCTTGGATCGCCTTCATTAGTATTAGAGGCTGTTGCGTCACAAGACTTATGGATTTGACATGCTTTTTTCGGAGTTGCGGGTTTTAACAACGACACAAACGTTTTTGATCAGTCACCAATATTTCAGGACCTTTTGATAGGAAAGGCACCGAATGTTCTTTTCACAGTAAATGACCATGAGTATAAGTTCGGGTATTACCTCACGGATGGAATATATCCACCATATTCCACCATTGGCGAAGCTTATATAGGGCCAGGGGGGCTGTGCCCCCCCTCCCCTTTTTTTAATTAGTCCATAACTATTAAAAAAGTTACATATTATGCCTAAAAATATACAATTTGACTTTGCCCCCCTTGTTCTTCAATTTTTATATATACTTTATC